TATTCACCTCAAAAAACACTGAGTGGATCCAAAGTTTGCCTTTCTTTTCATTTAAGATTTAATAAAATAAGGTCAATAGGTTAATTCCATAGACAATATTAGGCTCTATATCTAAACTAGCCTTCATTAGCTTTTTGCCATGAGAAGTTAGATGTAATAAATTTAACAATACCCCTCTGAATGTGTGTGGGTGGATGGGGTAGGGGCAAGAGGTTGGCCCCCCACCCCTACAGCACAATCCATTTCATTTAAGTAATCTCCCAGTTGAGTTGGAAGCAATGTCTGCTATTGAAAGAGGGGGTTTTTGCAAGGCAAATGCAGCACATCTAATCAGCGCCTTACACACTATAAAGGCGTTTACACGGATTTGTGTCTTGCACTTTATTAGCTTACTGCAAGCTTTAAAACAGATTTCCTCCACTAAAATTAATTAAGGCTCTAGGTGACTGATTTCCATTTACAAGAGATGACACCTTCTTGAGTTTCCAGATGAACTACTAATAACAATAATAGCAGTAATAAATGTGCTTGCTCTAAACATCTCTTTGAGGGTTTCCCATTTTCCTCTCCTAGAAGGCTCACCAGCCATTTCTCCCAGTTTTCCTAAGTAAGGAAGATATTTGAACGATGTGACAGCATTCTCTCCACTGCCCCCAACCTCAGCGCACACAGGCGCACTCACACACTCCCTGAGCCTCCCCAGTGAATGTAGCTACTGATGGAGAATCTAATTCTCTGCACAGTCTCCCCCCACCCACCCTACCACCCTTTATTTCATTGCAAATTCGCGTCACCAATGACTAATACAAGCCAGTTCTCCCCTCAATGAAAACTCGACTTCTAAAGTTCCCATTTTATGAGGGCTGAAGGTGATGAGAGATGGAGAGGGGCGCCTACGATTTCAACTTAGAAGGTTTTGTGATTTTTAAATGTTCACCTCCAAAGTACCAACAAAATCGGGATGTGAGGGTGGTAGGTTCAGTCATTTTTAAGGGTTGCTAAAAAACAGATGTTATAATTATTTGCTGTAATTGGGGATGTTCAAATCTATGCACCATCTGCCTCAATTGAAAGATACCAAAGCCCTCGAAATCCACATTTAAACTGCCAAATAGGTGCACAGGGCAGCAGCTGGACATACGTTCCATCCTCTAGCTACGGGATCCACCTCCCCACATTCTCGCAGATGGGGAAAAGCTCTAATACTGCCTATTAGGTGACGAATGATCTTTTGGTCCTAGGAGCAGATCCTGGATCATTAACTTTGCCTCCCTTCCGACTCTCCTGTCAGCGGCAGCAGCTGCCCTTCCGAGGCCAAAGGGATGGAGAAGGGGGTCAGGGGTTTAGAAAGAGTAGGGTGAATGAGGAGTGGGGGTGGGGTGGGGGTGTCACTTTACCTGCGAAGATTCTTGCAGTCCTTTTCCAGCCCTGGTCATAATCCCTCTTTGCGCTTTTCCCTCCCCGAGATCCAAACTTTTGCTCCTGCCTCTGGATCGCGGTGGAGGCTGCGGGTGCCCTGGGTGGGTATCCGGCGGCTGGATCGGGGGCTGCCGGAGCTGTAGCCCGAGCCGGAGCCGCTGTGACGGGCACGCTTCTCCGCACCCCGCGGCTCGCCTCTGCCAGCTCACCGGAGCGCTCCTTTCCCCTTGCTCTCGCCTTCCTCCCCTATGAAGCAGCGGCATCGTCCTCCCCCTTCCTCCTCCACCTCCTCCTCCAACGCGCAGCCCAGGGCTCTGGCATCCCACTTTCTCTTCTCTTCTGCCTTCTTGTCACCACCACCACCCCTTCCTTCTGCCCAGCGCCCCCGCTCCCCTACTGGTGTTCTTCGCAAATAAAAAATGACGCCCCCTTCTCTGACCCCCGCCCCCCAAAAAAAGGAAAAGGAAAACTGGGGAAAACCGAAGGGGAAAAATGCAGCCGCAGGATGCGCTCTCGAAGGGGTCTCCTTTAGAGGCGATGAAAGGATCACTGGAGGAAACACCGAGATCCAGGACTCGGACAAGTCTCCAGATACCCCACACACGTATGTGGGAGCGGGAGCGTGTGTGTGAGTGTGTGCACGCGCGCGCGTGTGTCTAGCTCCAAGTCTTGAGCCTTCTTCAGACGGGGATTGCGAGGTTGATCTTAGCAGTAACGATGCCTCAGGTTTGACTATTCCCCGCTAATGTAAGTCGTGCCTCGCCCCCGCCTTCCCCGCCCCCCAGCCTGACACCCCTGGGAGATGTTTACAGTAATGAATTCAGCTGATAGCCATCTCGCTCCTCTCTGGCTTGCTCTCTAGCTCTCCCTCCTCTAAGAGCCCTCTCCCTCTTTCTCTCTCCCTCCTGGAGGCCCTCCCACATTTCTAGTTTAAAGAATGCTTGGAAGGCAGGGCTGCAACCCAAGGCTTTCCAAGAGGCAAAGTCAGACTAAGGTTTTTTAACCCTGTCCTTCCCTGAAGGAAAGTAAAAAGGAGGGCTGTTCTTGCTAACCCAGCTTATAATCACCTAGCTCTACAGAAGTAGACGGCATTTTTTCCCCCTTTTTCTCCTCTTCCCCACACCTTCCCATCCCCCAGTAATAAAAGACACTCAGATCCCTGAAGGTCACTTTTCTCAGTCTGGACACTTCGATGTTACCAATGAGAAGAATTTATTACTTAGAAACTCTTGAGAAAGGTCCAAAACGTGGCATTAGAAAGAAAATCAAACCTTTCTACAAAGATGGCGTTATTTCAAATAGAGGCAACTTTGGACATGCGTTTCCCCACCCCCTTTTTATCCCCCCATGATCATTTCTCCAACACCTTCTTCAATGAACTCTAATCGGAAAAATTACCTAATATTTACGATTATTTTGCAAGACTCCCTCCTTTAAGCTGCACTCCCCCCCCCGGCTTCCCTCCTCCTCCTCCTCATTCTTTTTAGAAAAGGACCACTTATTTGATGATAGACTGTGGTGGGCACGCAGATTCAAGAACAAGGACTACAAGAACAAGGATCAGATTCCAAACTGCTGAAGAAATCAGGAGTTGTATGTGGCCAACTCCCCCTTTTTATTTTTTTGTAGACTGAAAAGTGACGTCTTAGGGAAGCAAGAAACATAGGTTAAAAAAAGCGCCACAATATTCTTGATTTTCGACTCTGGTTTCATTGCAGGTCTCTCTACCTACAGTAAGTTCCTGTCATGTTTTAACAAGTCAAGAGACAGGCTGATTCTGAACAGAAGAGGGAGAGCGCTCTCCTACAAACCAGACTTCCTAAAGAAGCAAACGCTTGGTTGGTCTGCATTAGAAGTCAGTCGGCACGTTGGAGTTGGAAACTCAGAGAAGGAAACCGACAGAGATGTGATCAGATTCTAGGGCAGAATGAGTAGTCAAGAATAACTCTCACCTTCTTGATAAGGAATAGGCTGGTCTCAACCATAGATCAAAGCCTGAGTCACTGAGCAGTACTTTTACCAATTGTTTCGCTCCCTCCCCCTGCATTCGGTCTCTAAAGAACTCATGTTTTTGAGTGCCTACGAAACACTAATACAATTTAGAGAAACGTCCGGTCTGACTTGACTCCAAGGACAAAATTCAATTATATGCACGCATACATGGCTGCACGTGTGTGCATGGCGCAGGTCATAAGATCTTTAGCTTGACTTCTGCAAGGTCGGAAAGGAAAAAAAAATATCCCACTTTGTTCATAAACGTGTTGAATGGCGAATAAACGTACAGAAACAGGAAAGGAGGGAGGAGAAGTTTTGATCCCAGGAAGGAAAGACATAGAGTGCCATCTTGCTGGGAGGTTCCAGCAGTACCAGCAGCAAAATCTAACAGCTTGATCAGCAGCAGCAGCAGCTGCAGCTGCCGCCACCCTAGCCGCTAAACCCTGCTGAGAACCCGGCAGCTCAAAGCGCTCCTGCCTGGAGTAGTTTCTTTGGCACTCAAGGGGGCAGTTACTGTCCTGCCCAGTCCAATCACCCCTTCTCCCCGCCCTACTCCTTCCCCTTAGAATTTCCTACCCACTACTAACCCCACGACCTTGATCTTCCTTCCAGTTGAAGAATTATCCCCACAACACACACACACACACACACACACACACACACACACACACACACACACACACACTCTCGATCACAGAAGGGATTTTTTTCCACCCTGCCTCCAGGAGCAAAGAAGGAGGCGCTGGGGGAAGTTTGCTTAGCTGTGTACTTAAGGAAGCAAGCAGCAAGCAGTGACAGATTCACAATTCCTCCCATTCCCCACCATTCACCTTTTTCTCTCCGTACACTGACCCAGGCGCTGTTTTGTCTTTTTGTTTGTTTGTTTTTTTCCTCCAGAACACTGCAGCCAGGAATTCTATAGGTCTCAGCACAACTCCTGCTGAGCCACTCCAAACTGAGGCCCTAGCCTAGCTAAGGCCCTTTCCTAGCAAAGAGTCCAAACTGCCAGTTGGAGGTGGTACTTCTCCAAATAATCACATTAGGTTTTTAGGAAATCACTAAAGTCAAAGTAGAAAGAACCGGCGCGGCTGGATCCCCTTAAAGGGCTGATAATCTAAAACAGATTGCATGGAAAAAAAGGGGGGGGGGTCAGAGCCTGGAGGTTTTAGAACCAACTGACAAGAACAGCAATAATAATAATAACAATAATTGATGCGGGAAGAGGGAGAAGCACTGATGTCTGTAAGGTAATAGCGAGTCATACTGGAAACTGGGTGCTCTTTCTCTGGCAAGCCGCAGGGCTCCGACACCCCAGTTTAAGAATATAGGGCAAAGAAGGTAAATGCCAGTTACTAAACTACTTTAAGGTGGTGGATTTGCCGGTTCGAATTTGCACCTAGCTGTAGGTAAGGTTGCAATGTAATGAAAGCTTGCACCCTTCTCCCTTTCCTCCCTAAGCAGAAAGTTAAAACCTACAGTCTGCTTCCCTCGCCAGCCAGTTCAGAAAACAATTCCCCCCTTCCCCCCGCCCCAATCTGGCAGTAGCGTGTGTCTCTGAAGCGTTGGCTGACCCTCGTCAACTTCACCTGAGCCTCCGGAGTTCTTTTTTTACCTGCTGGTGAAATCTCCGACTTAGTTCATCCAAATCCCACCGGGTCAGGAAGGTGAAAAGAGAAAAAGCTGGTACAGTAGTAGCTGGGCTCCTGCTGCATGGTATTGTTTTAAGGATCGCCACCAAGGTCTCCCTTTCCCATTGTTGACAATTGCTACCCTCGTCCCAGATGTCTTATCAGGCTTGGAGGATCGGAAGCAAGCGAGCTGCCGCGGTCTTGTGGCTCCTTTCTTTAACTCTGACACTGGAGTGAGGGCTTCGGCAAGTGAACGATTGAAGTGGTTAAACGTCTTTTCTCAGAGATTCCGCCCAACCCGGCTGAGCGATCTTATCTCCCTATGATCATTACTCACTGGTGACAATGGGAGATGCCAAACTCTAAAGCGAGGATGACAGATTTCGAACTTGCAGCTACAAGGTACCTAGTCTAAGACAGTTTGCTTCTCCTCCCGCCCCCCTGGCCTTCCCTCCAACTAGGGAGGGAACTAGTTTAACCCTTTGTGGTCCAGGAGAGGCAAACCGAGCGGGAAGCATGAACACATGAGGAAACAGCACCGGGTGGCTGGCGTGGAAGTATGCTTTGCCCACGTGCATTTTGCAATGTTTGTCTTGGTACTTAATGCCATAAATGCACTTTCAATGATATAACTTCAAAAGTTACGTTTCTGTTCTAGGCTGTATCTTCTAAACAAAAGACAGCCTTCCCGATACTTTAAACTTTCTGTAGTTGGATTTATCAAAAGTTGCTAGGGAAGCCTTGATAGTCCCCTTTCTCTATCTTCGGTATCTCCCTGAGGGTCCTTTGCACCGTTTTTGTAAGTGTACCCACTATAATTAGCAGAAGAGTCTTCGAAAGCTCATCTCGTCTAAAAGTCCTTCTTAGGACCTTCTTAGAGCTCTGTGTTTTTTGTGCCCCCACTCGATAACTGTATCACTCACGCAAAAGTGTATGTGGAATAAAAAATACAAGCAGACTTCCCCCACCCTGTGCCAATCTTCCTTCAAAAGGAAGTGATCTGATGAGAACTCCAGGGAGAGAGAGAGAGAGAGAGAGAGAGAGAGAGAGAGAGAGAGAGAGAGAGAGAGAGAGAGAGAGAGAGAGAGAGAGAGAGAGAGAGAGAGAGAGAGAGAGAGAGAGAGAGAATGAATATATCAGAGTTGGAGTTGGTAGCTGGAGAATGCGGCAGATGTTACAGGAGGGAGAGGAAGAAGGAGAGACTACTAATATGAAGTAAATAAAAGTGGAAGCAGAAACAGGTATGATTGAAAAAAATAAGCGAGTTACAGCATTGGAAGGAACTGGTCAGCTCTACTCCGGGGTTTTGATCCGTGACATTTTCCCCCACGCCTTCTGAAAAAGTTTAAATAAAGAGCACAAAGGCATTCTTTCCTCCGCATCCCACGCGTTTTGCATTTTGAAAACAACTGTACACTAAGTACTCTCTTGACTCCGGAGAAATTAGCATTATTTTTTAAGGCGAATCACCAGTTAGAAAGGAGAGGAAAGCTTAGGTAAAAGAAGTGCCCCACTAATTACACGGTCACACCTAAGTACACACGAGTCGATTACCTTCAACATAATGCTGAGGTCAAAACGCAAGCATCTCAAACGGAGTTTTCTACCCCACAACTAAAACAGAAAAAAGCTTCCCCTATTTTTTTTTAAAGGAGCCTTTGCAAACAAGTCAGAGGCTTGAACTCAGCAGATCTTGCGGAAACTGCGACAAAGGAAGAGATCCGGTGATTTCCCCGGAGCTCATTCATATATTATCCTAAATTCTCTCCCAGAGACCCATGCCAAGAGAAAGCTTTATAAATCTGCAAATCGCCAAGCAGTGCCCACTGGAGCATTCAGAGCGCCGAGCAGGCTGGCTGAAGAATTCCGTTGCAAATCCGTTTACTTTGCCAAGGTGGCAGCAAAACACAGGTTTAGGCTTCTTAGAGGAGGAGGAGGAGGAGGAAACAGCAGAATGAACACTGGAGACCACATTTTAAAGCATCGGAGAAGTAACCTACTCGCTTTTTAAAATCTTTCCTTTTGGACAATGTATGTATGTATATATGTATGCATCCATGCATGTGTGCACGAATGTGTCTGTATCTTATATAGATGTTTGAATTTTTTTATCTATGATTCACTGATTCTTTCACCATTAACTACGTTTGGGGAGGGAGGAATGTAAATGAATAGAATCCTTGGATTTGCTTTGCTGCTTTAGACTGCTATAAAAGAAATTAGACTGAAAGGGGGATGCAGATGCATGGTATTTATGTTTTAGATTATCTGTGCCCCTAAGTGGTAAGAGCACCGTGTTATGTGTCCCTGATCCCAATTAGAGGCCATTAATGCAATTACTCGTCATAGCAAGAGAAGGAAAATTAAATAAGGAAGCAGGTACAGCAGGAGATACATACACACATACATATGCATTTGATATGCATTTGTGTGTGTGTGAGTCTGTGTGTGTATGTATTTTCTGGAAAAATCTTTGAATCACAGAGGACATTGTAAGTGGGCCAGTGCAGTGGATGTCCTGTTGGACCTGTCCCAGGAAGACCTGGGTTTGAATTCTGACTCAGATACCTACTAGCTTTGTGGGGGTGAGGAAATTACTAAACCTCTATGTATCTTACTTTACTCATCTATAAAAACGAGGAGTTAAACTGGGTAAATTCTATGAGCTTGTGTCTGGGGGTAGGGGGTGAAGAAAAACAGCAGATACCATTTGGAGGATTCAAAGCAATAATCACAGTAGATTTAAATGCAATTTGATGTAGCAGTGAGCTATTCACCAAACTGTGACAAATAAACTATATTTGGAAAGAAAAAAATAGATAAATTCACAAAGGGGAAGGGGAGACTAGGAAAAAAGCAAATGGGTAAGCTGACAAAGTTTATTTTAAAGTGTATTTGGAGATTCAATTGTTAATTTCAGATAAGAACAACAAAAAATCAGCACATTTAAAGTTATCCTCAGATTTTCAGAAACTGCTTACAGAAAGGATTAGAATTCTCAAAACAGCAATAAAAGTGTTTTCAGTTTGATTTAAGGTAAAATTTTATTGCAACCTTAAGCTCTTTAATTCCCCATACCCCTGCCTTTCTTCACATTCAAGATAACTTTCCCCAATACACTTAGACCATTTAATATCTACATCAGAAAATACTTTTGACAGTCACCAGCACTACATCATTGTATCCTAACCTATAAAATCCAAGAAGCAAAATTGAATGATACAGTGGAACTCCCAATTTAGGTCACTACCAAATTATCACTATAAAAAATAAATAAACACTAACAATAGCTCAAATTCAAACTATATTTTTAGAAGCATTTTTTTTAATATCAACCTTGTCAGGTACTTAGTGAAATAGCACTATCCGGATACCATTTTAAAGATGAGAAAACTGAAGCACATAAATGTCAACTGACTTGCCTGTGGTCAGACAGCTAGTAAGTAATGCAGTGAAACTCCAACCTAGTTCTCCTGATATCCAGGAGTCTTTCCATGTACCATGCAATTTTAATATACTCAGATAAAAATTCCTTCTCTCTAGGTGACAAGGGACATGTTTGGTTTGGTTTGGTTCGGTCCAAGCCTGTGACTTCAATATGTAGAGAATTCCAGTGTGGAAACCCTTTCCACTGATTGTAGAGGGCTGGTCTGAGTTGACTGGAAATGAATGGTTAAGATACTTGACTTGCCTACAGTCACAGGTCAGACCTCTATCTACTTTCCTGTGTTGCCTCTCAAGAACAGTATAGCTATCATTAAATATTTGAAAAGCTGTCACGTAGTAAAAAAGAGGATTTAGTTTTTGTTTTGTTTAGTTTTTAATCTGCTTGAAGCCAAATGTTGGATATAGCACCAGTGGTATGAAGTTACGAGGTGGAAGATTTCAGCACAATGTAAAATAACTTTCCTCAATATAGAGAGCCTTGAGTTACCCCAAAATGGAATGAGTGAATGGCCTCCCTTTTGAAGTGATGGACTCCCTCTCACTGAAAAATTTTCCAACAGAAGCTAGATGATTACTTGTTAGGGTCAGTGTAGAGATAATTGGACTCTTACATAAGGAAGTGCCATGTACTAGATGATGTGTTGGATTTGACTTTAAAAATTTAGGTCAAGCCCACCAGTATTGTATTTAGATGAAACCTCCAGCCACTCCTAACCTACCCAACCATCCTTACCCTGTCATGTCTTTAGTTAATAGGGACAATAGTCGATGAAGACTAGTTAAATCTGCACAAATCCATTCTTACTAATAAAAAAAAAATCAAGTTTTGCAAATGATAAGCTCCGATAGCCTACTTTACACTTCTTTCTTGCTGAATTCAGTATCATATTCCCTGCAGGGTGGTAAAAGTAAAAAGTACTCAATTTGGGATCAGAGGACCTGTATTCAAATCAGACTTTTTGCCATTTACTAAGTGTGTGACATTGGAAAAGTTAAGTAACCTATCTTGGCCTCTGATTCCTCCACCTTGAAAGAGGGTCTGAGGTCCCTTCCAGCTGTAAATCTATGTCCTGTGATTTCACATTCCTATTCTGGAATTTTGCTTCTGTAGACTCCCAGATCTCAGGCCCTCCCTATGAGAACTGGAGGATTTCTGTGGAAGTGACTGCTTGATTATCCATCTCCCCAAAGCCTTGGTTTCTTCACCTTTCAATGAGTGTTACATGATGATTATGAATGAACAAAAAGAAAGGTACATATTGACAGGGAACAAAAGCACTTTAAACCATGGAGATTTCCTCTACATAAACCTGCCATTTGTTAAGCAGCTACTTTCTCTGTTCCAAAGGGAAGCTGGCAAGAACTAAAGGCAAACCTTTTCCAGTTGAGTTCTAAAGGAATAAGTGAGGGGAACTCCCTTCTTTTGAAGGAGCTTTGGGATAGAGAGGGGACAGAGGGAGGGGTGAAAGCTTCATTAAGAAAGGATGAAAGATTCATCCACACATTTATACAGCCATAGAAGCAACCAATCTAGAAAATGTTACTAACCTTTCAACATCTAAGTGATTATCACTCAGGTTGAAGGGTAATTGAAAAGTAAAGGGTTTTTTTTCCCTTTTTTCCCTAACTTGCCAAGGTAATACATGGAAGTTCCTTTCCCTATGAGATTCTGAATTAGAATTAAGGCATGTATGCATTTTTACATGCTTCTCCACAGACACCTGTGGGATAATTCATCTTTACATAGCGTATGATGCAGTCTGTAGTGGGGAAGAAAGCTGATCTCAGACTTAGGAAGCCCTGGGTTCAGGTCCTGAATCTGCTATATATCCCGAATACAGTGTAGACCCTAATTCACTTAACCTATCAGTACCTCCCAGGAAACTGAAAGACTAAGTTGTGGGGAAGGTACAAATGTGTATTAATAAAGGAATTACCTCACCTGGAGCTTCCTACCCCAATGTAATCATAGATTAGGTAAGGAAAAACGCATACAAATGTATATATGTAAACATATATATTTATATATATACATATACACATGTATGCACATATTTATCAGATATATATACATATATTGTGTGTATACGTACACACATTTACTTTTTTTCTTATATATGTTCTTTCTATATATAAACATATTATATATGTGTGTGTGTCTTATAGCTGACAAAGTTCAGTAGTTTGTCAGTCTAAATCTTCTATATGACTGTGTTTTAGATATTTAAAAACAACTATTAGAGCCCTTCCTGTGAGGCATCATGGAGTAGTAGATAAAGTGAAGAACTTGGAGTTAGGAAGACCTGGGTTCAAGTCCTCTCTGCGATATATAACCCTTGTGTGATTTTTGGGCAAGTCATTTAAACCCTCGGTTCTCAGGACGACTCTCTAACGATCTTAGTTTTAGATAATAAAATTAGTATTTGTATTATAGACCAAGTTCTGTGCTAAGTGCTTTATAAATGTTACCTCTTTTGATTCCCACAATAACCCTGTGAGGTAGGTGCTATTATTATCCTCATTTTACAGTTGAGGAAACTGAGGCAGAGAGATTAAGAAACTTGATCTGAGTCTTATAGCTAATGTCTAAGGCTGGATTTGAACTTGAGTCTTCATGACTCCAGGTCCAGCATTTGATCCACTGTGCCATGTAAACTGCCTGGATAACTCTATACAGATCTTATAAAGTTTATGTCTAGGGAAAAGAGGAACACCTTTGTTAAAGGTTAAATGTTCTATTAGCCTTTAAAAAATATATGTAGTTGTTATGGTAACACATTTGTACATATTTTTCAAGACAATTTCATACAGCTGAATTCTCACAGCAATGAGCAATGAATGCTATGATGGGGGTTTGGCTATATTTGGATTTCTATCTTTCCATCTATCCTAACCCCACAAGAAACATTCTGGGTTTTGATGGCATGGAACTGCTTAGATATCACAAGGATTGGATACTTTTAGGTACTACACTTTTCTACACAGAACTGACCTAACAGAATCCCAGTTTGCTAGCCCAAGGGAATTACTGTGTTTCCCATTCTACTAGATTGTAAATTATATCTGGATTTCTGTCATCCATTTTCTTTGCTCATTTCCTCTTTCCAGATCACAGGGGGTAACAAGGAAGTTCTGTGTTGCTTATGTGCTCCTATTTCTGTTCTTAGAGTTGGTGTTTTGTTGGTGGTGGTGGTGGTGGTGGTGGTGTAGTGGTAGTGTGTGTGTGTGTGTGTGTGTGTGTGTGTGTGTGTGTGTGTGTGTATTTAAATAATTATCTGGATCTCAACACTTTGTCTAAGTAGAAAAATCCTAATCAGCCCATTTTTTCCCCGTGCAGTGAATTGATACAAAGATTTTAAAAGGAAACTCGATAATGCAATTTTAAAGATAACAATTTGCTGCACCCACCAACCCCAACGCTGAGACTCGCTTTTTAACGAACATTTCAACAGGTTTAAAACATTTCTAGAAGTTATGAAAGGTATTAACCAAGAGGAAAAGTTGTTGTCCTAGTGTTAGAAATACATTATCAGGACTATAGTAGGTGGGATTAAACTCCCCTTCCTAGGAAGTAAAAGAATGAT